TGCTTAGCATCCTAGGGCTTCTTCCTAGGTGTGTGACCTTCTGGAAGCCGATTTCTCTATGCTTCGCTTTTCTCATGCATAGCTCTCCTTCACTTCTCTATTCATACGGATAGCATAAGTTTCCATGAGGTTCTCAGTGCTTCCAAGAATTCAGTGAGGTTAGTCCTCTGTTAGGGAGGTCATGGTGCTACTTGGGGATTTGATCTAATGAGACCACAAGCTATATACTTGGCCGTTATTGATGCTCCTTATGCAGCATGTGAGTTATTTCTAATTTGCCCACGAGCAGCCTCCTAGTGTTACAAAGCCGACCTTTGATGTCTTCACTTGTGGCCTTTTCCTATGATGAACATGACTCTTGGATCATTTCAAGGTTGCTGATTATTTTCTTGTAGTAGAAAATAAAATGCAACAATAAACACAGAGTGTAAAAGAAAAGTCCTAGGACACGCTGCAGTGCATCCAGGACTTGTCCCTTCCCACAGTACCATCCCAAATTCTAAGGAAAAGGGAAAAACGGGGACTAGTCTAGGGATGAGACAGGTCTAAGCATGCTTAGGGAGCAGAAGTAAATACCCTACCCGGCTCTTCTTACCTTCATTGAGCAGGAGCGCCTGTGCCACACTGCTATTGGGAGCAGCAAGATCAAGGGCAGTTTTGCCCTGCGAGTTTCTGAGTCTCAGGTTAGCCCCGTACTCAGTGAGCAGGTTGATGACCTCCACACTGGACTGCCTCGCTGCAGCATGCAGTGGGGTATCCAGCCACCGGCCACGGTCAACACTGGCTCCTTAAGAGAGCAGATGACCACAATCAGTGCTGCTTGTGAGTGTAAGACACATGAGCTATTATTGTATATAAAGGCATCTTACTAGCTGTCCGTGTGTGTCTGTGTATCAATGTAGACATGCATGCATAATTAATCGGAAAAAAAAAGCATCTTACACGCCATGGTGTATTTAACCAACCTCGGAGACTATGTGACTTAAGTCTAGAACCTCCGCAATTGGGAAAGATTACTCCCAAGCAGTTTGGAGAAAAATGAAGTTAGATGCTTTCATACACACACACACTCACACACACACGCACATGCACGCATGCGTGCACACATACACAAATTGTAACAAAAGCAAAATATTTGAAGTTCCTGTTACATAGTTATTTGGGGGACTTTTTAGTAAAAGAGAGAAAGAAACTTGTTTAGCATTTATATTATTGGAAACTCAAAAAACATTTCCAAAATCAATATAAAATAGTAAATGAAGGAATAAAATAAATAATAAAAAAACTCTTGGAGATCAAATTTCTCAAGTAAAGGTTCTTCCTATAGCTTACAAGTTTACATCAGTAGCTAGGTGCCTTAAATCATGAATCAAAAGATAGTTTTGGAGTGTTCTACTTGTCCCTGGAATGGTCGTTTCTTTATATGACATTCTGAAGTGAAAAATGACTGTCTTAGGGGGACAGAGGTGGGTCTGCTGCAAATGGTCACCGCATTCTATACTTAGTTTTCCCTTTAGAAAGGCATCTTCCTGTCAGAGTTTCAGCCCACGTAACCTAAGAGAAACCTAATGACTGCAGGGTAAACTGGAATCTAGCCCTCAGCCCATCAGCAGCCTGTATTCCCCTGGCCACAACGGTCAATCAATTGGTTCAGAGATGGCCATGCATGCAACTCAAAGAGAGCCAATATTCCTTTTTGTTACAGCCCAAGTGTTTGTGGCGGCCAAGTTGCCACAACCAGGGAGAAGCATCCTAGCTACATAAGGCCAGCATCAATGGAAGCAGAGCTGAGAGATAAATACGTGTTTCTCTAGATGGGCTGTGCATCTAGCTTTCAAGTGTCCAATGCAATCAGAATCTTTTCTAACCTGATAAGAATGATGAGATCTCCTGGATAAACTGGAATGGTGGCGGTATGCGGAGGGGATGGAGTATGAGAACATGAAGGAAGCAGATGGTCGAGTTGGGGAAGGATGGAGAGGGAGAGCAATGAAAGAGATACCTTGATAGAGGGAGCTATTATAGAGTTAGTGGAAGACCTGATGCTAGAGAACTCCCCAAGAATTCACAAGGGTGACCCCCCCTAAGACTGACTCTTTGCAAGAGTGGAGAGGGTGCCTGAACTGGCCTTCCCCTGCAATCAGATTGATGACTTCTATGAAGGTCATCATAGAACCTTCATCTAGTAACTGATGGAAGCAGATGCAGAGATCCACAGCCAAGCACCAGGCTGAGCCTGGGAATACAAATGAATAGAGGGAGGAGGGGATATATGAGCAAGGGGGGGGGTCAAGATCATGATGGAGAAATCTACGGAGACAGCTGAAGCAAGCTCGTGAGAACTCACGACCTCTAGACCGACAGCTGTGGAGCCTCCGTGAGACTGAACTAGGCCCTCTGCATGTGGGAGACAGTTGTGTAGCTTGGTCTATCTGAGGGGCTCTGGTAGTGGGACCAGGATTTATCCCTGATACCTGAGCTAGCTTTTTGGACTCCAGTCCCTATGGTGGGATGCCCTGCTCAGCCTTAATGTAGTAGGGAGGGGCTTCGTTGTGCCTCAACTTAATTTGGCAGACTTTGTTGACTCCCCATGGGAGGTTTTGCCCTTTGGGAGGAGTCAATTGGGGATGGCCTGGGCGGGGAAGGTGAGAGGGAGCAGCAGGAGGGGTGGGAGGGAGAACTGTGGTTGGGATGCAACATGAATAAAAATAAATAAGCAAACAGAAAAGAATGCAATCTTTAGATTCATTTATTTAAAAAGTCTAGCAGCTTCATCTCACTAAAACTGTTCTAACAATTACCTAGTTCTAGAAGCTTCTTTGCACAGTCGACTCTCTCATAGGTACAGGCTACATACAGAGGAGTTCCCAGCTGAGGAAGCTCTTGGTCAATGTTGACATTATTTGCCAGCAGAATCTCCATGCACTCTCTGTGACCTGGTGGAATATATACTTTTTTATAATTATATATTATGTAATTATAATGTTTATATAATATTATATATAATAATTTATAAATAAACTCACTTGCCCAGCGGTGGTTGTGATGCCTTTAATCCCAGCACTCGGGAGGCAGAGGCAGAGAGATCTCTGTGAGTTTGAGGCCAGCCTGGTCTACAGAATGAGTTCCAGAAGAGCCGAGGCTGTTACACAGAGAAACGTTGGCTCAAAAAAAAAAAATGCCCCACAAAGCCAAAACAAAAAACAACGTATGGGACTCGCTCACTTCCAAAATCCCAGGTGTATGAACTGGCTTTTTGGAGCCACCATTGCTGTGGTGGGATACCTTGCTCAGCCTCGATAAGAAGGGGTGGTCCTGCCTCAACTTGGTATGCCAGACTCTGTTGGCTCCTCAAGGAAGGCCTTATCCCTTCTGAGAAGTGAATAGGGAGTGGGAAGGGGGAGGTAGGGGCTGGAAAAGGGGGGAGAGGAACTGGGATTGGTATGTAAAATGAAAAGTAGATTTTTTAATAAAAAAATATGGGAAAAAGAAACTAAAAAAAACATAAAAGATAACCTCACTCAAATAGGGACTTGTTGAATATGTCCAAAATTTCAGGACTGCTTTCCAGAATGGGGTTTTAAAATAACAGAGATTCGGGGGGCTGGAGAGACAGCTCAGCAGTTTAAACTCCTGTTGTTGCTCTTCCATAGGACCTGGGTTCAATTCCAGCACCACATGGTGGCTCACAACGGTTTGTAACTCCAATCTCTGGAAATGCTGGCTGCACACAGACACACACAGGCAAAACACTCATATGCACAAAATAAATAAATAAAAATCTTTAAAAAAGAAGTAACAATTTTCCCCCGTGTGTTAGAAGAAAAACACTTTGTTTTGGGAATCATGGCAGAAATCTGCAAACTAAAACCATGAACATGTTTCCTCCAGGGTAAGTTTTTCTTTTTTTCAGTACCGGGGTAACTGCAGTGAAACTCAGATTCTAAGGAACATAGCTGAACTCACTGGCTAGCATGAAGCCACCACTGTACAAGTGGATGGCTATAAGATGCAAAGGGATAAACAACCCCCATTATTACCCGCACTTAAGCCAAAGCTCAGTCCCATTCCCGATCCATTGCTAAGCTCTCATTCTCTTCTTTATCCACTCCTGTAAGAGAAGCTGTGACTTTATTTGGTTGGACTAGAACACACGGATGGAGAGGAATCCAATGCTTCAGGTACAGAGTGTATTCAAATGAACTTACAAAATCACAGGCCTGCTCTATGGAGACTTTGCCCAATGACAAGATAAACATGATTAATTTGCAGTATATCAACTAATTCTTCATGAAGGAGTGCTTCTGAGGTACAGATGAAAGTTTGATGATCATTTTACATGTTTCCTCAAAAGTTTTACCACTGAGGTTGAAAGGATGGCTCAGTGGTTAAGAGCACCTGCTGATCTTGTAGAGGATTGGGGTTCAGTTCCTAGCACCCATATGATAGCTCACAACAGCTTATGCCTCCAGTGCCGGGGGGGGGGGATACATACATACATGCAGGCAAAACACACATACACACAAAATTTTTTTAAAAAATTAATAGCTAATATCGCTAATTAATTTCGCCAACCTTTCCTTTAGAGATAACATAATCAGAACCAAAGCGTGCCTAGTAAACACATGGTAGCTGGTAAATATTTATTTCTGAATAATTCTTATCTCTTTCAGTTTTCCTGGCCGAACAGAAACTGAGCCTAGTTTGTGTTGAATGTAAACAGCCTTAAGAAGTAAGTATACAAGCCCAGGTGTGGTGGACGTAGAGGGAAACATTGGGACCAACACCAGACCTTGATTTAGGTAAAGTGCAATCAACCCAGCAATGTCGGGTGTGCCCTGGAGTGGCTTGCTTACCTCTCTTCACCGCTTCATGGATAGGTGAAGCCAGGTAGACCTCCGGCTGGGCCTTGGCTCCAAACTCCAAGAGCAGGCTGACACAGGCCGCACTGCCGCTGCAGCAGGCGTTGAAGAGTGGCGTGGCCCCGTGAACTGTCAGTCCATTGACCTAAGGTTGGGCAGAGCAAAACTCACAGTAAAATTGTCACCAAGTGCGTACTCCTGTGTGTGTGCCTGGAGAAATCCCCTCATGATGATGATGAGGGACTGAGAGTATTCCAGACCTCTCCAAAGGGACTGGTACTGTTAGGAGGTGTGGCCTTGTTGGAGTAGGTGGGGCTTTGTTGGAGCAAGTGTGTCACTGTGGGGCTGGACTTTGAGTTCCCTGTTACTCTCAGTATCAAGGACCACTTCCTGTTGCCTGCAAGGTGTAGAGTTCTCACCTACTTCTGCAGCACCATGTCTGCCTGCACGCCTCCATGTCCCAAAATAATAACAATGGACTGACTGAATCTCCAAACTGTAAGTGAACCGCCCCAATTAAATGTTTGCCTTACAAGAATTTGTTGTGGTCATGGAGTCTCTTCACAGCAATAGAAAGCCTAACTAAAACAAAAGTTGGGACCAGGAGCTAGGGCATGAATGTGATAGACCTGACCATGTTTTTGTTTGGAGAAATATGGACGTTGGGAGTTTGGATTAGGAAAGCAGTGGAAGGCTTTCATTGCTGTTTAATTGGCCATACTACTAGGAACATGGAAGGCAGGGGTGCTAAGTTTGATTTGACGAATTGGGGGTATGGTAAGTGTTCATTGTCAACTTGGTTGCTCAATGTGGGGACTAGAAAGGAAACTGCGGGTCCTCTGAACCACGGCTACAGCTCTGGAATTATCATGATTACCTTATCTGAGGTGGGAAGACCTGCCCCCTGTGGGTGGAACTATTCCCTTGATAGGGGATCCTAGACCTCTCCAGAGTGGAGAAAGCAATCTGAGTACTACTGCAGGTGCAACCTTTGCTCTCTTCCTTGGCCTTTGGACGACTGTAGCCAGCGCTTTAAATTTAACACTGCCACCTCCCTGACAGCCAGAATGGACTATAACCTTGAACAGTGAGCAGAATAAACCCTTTCTCTTTTAAGTTACTTTTATCAAGGTGTGTTATCATTGCCATAGACCAGAAACTAAAACAGTTCACAATGTGTTTTATACCTAAAACTCGTTTACTTTGGTAATGTACACCTAAAAGGATGGTTGACTTGGAGCATTGAATTGAGTGTCTTTCATTGTTCTGTTGAAATTTGTTATTTATGTTTTATAACAAAATGGTTTTTTTTCTTTTTTAATTGATCTTATTAAGCTCTACATTTCTCTCTGCTCCCCTCCCTGCCTCTCCTCTCCCCTTCAGCCCTCTCCCATGGTCCCCATGCTCCCACTTTACTCAGGAGATCAACAAAATGTTTTTTAATGACCCCATCTGGATATTCACACATAGCTTATAGAGGCTGAAAAGAGGAAGATGGATAGGGCTCTACCTTCCCATTGCTCGGTGAGTAAGCACTCTGGAAGGGAGTGCCTCCCCAGCTGTTTTAGCCGATGGACCTGGACAGACAAATCCAGCTGTGCTGGGCAGGGCTGGGGCAGTACTCACATGTGCACCATTTTCCAGCAAGACCTTAGCGCAGGCCACGTGACCCCCAAGGCATGCCTCATGGAGAGAGGAGACGCGGTTAATTGTCACAAGATTCACGTTGATCCCCTGCAGTTTGGAGAGAAGATAGTGAAGTGCCGCAGCCAGCAGCAAAGCAAGAATGGCGCCCACCGGGTTTCTGTTTTCAAAAAGCAGGTGAGGACAGTGATACTACTGCCGTATAAAATAGAGTAGGAGCCACAACCATGGGATTCTAAACACAGCATTGGGGACTGGAGAGATGGTCCAGAATTTAAGAGCAAGCATGGCTCTTGAAAAGAATCCAAGCTTGGTTCTCAACACCCACATCAGGCTGCTCACAACTGCCTTTAACACCAGCTTCTGGGGGATCTGATGTCTCTGGCTTCCTAGGTTATCTGCATTCACAGACACACAGACACACACACACCACAGAGAGAGAGAGAGAGAATAAAAATAAATCTTTAAACACAGCATAGAGTCGCAAAGTCATTTGTTCTGATTCAGGCAATGTGCTAGGACATGGGTCTTTGAAATATATGGCCTAAGCCCCTCTCCTCCAGGAGTCTACTGGGGAAGAAGGACTTTAAACAAAAAAGCAAGAGAAAAAAAAAATTCGTACTACAGAAAGCATGTTGAAATTTCAGCTGGGAAGATGGAATATTCTAAAAGTTTGGTTTAGGGAAGGAGAAAAAATAATCACCAGACACAGTGGCACATGGCTTTCATCCCAGCACTCAAGCAGAGGCAGGCAGACGGATCTGTCCCATTGGCAAATGCTTGATCTGTGTGCCTATTATTGTATAGTATATATAGTATAATACACACAAACACATGGCGCTATAGAAACTTCTCTGGTTGAAGGAGTATTGAGAAAAGGAAGTTTAAGGACAGGGCTTCAAAAGCCCTATGTGTCTCACAATTGGGGTCTTTCCCTTTTTCCTTTATCCTCCCCATATGTGACTTCCTTTTAAGAAATAAATACTTGATATTCGGTGATAATAGAAAAAGAGGAAAGGAAAGAAAGGGAAAAACTGAAAAAGGAGTGGGAAAGAAAATGGCTTAAAATGATCTAGTCCACGAGGTGGCAGCATTGTACTAGAAGCACAGCTACAGTTCCAAAAAAAAAAAAAAAAACCCGAAATCTCGGCACCGGAAAAGTGCCACCAAGAAGGTCATTTGTTCTCAACCTTCCTGGTGCTGTGACGACCCTTTAATACAGTTCCTCGTGTTGTAGTGACTCTGATATAAAACTATGTGATTGCTACTTCACAATTGAAAGTTTGCTACTGTTATGAATAATAATGTAAATATCTAATATGCAGGATATCTGATATGTGACCCCCATGAAATAGTCATTTGACCCTCGAGGGGCTTGCGACCCACAGGTCGAGAACCAGTGGTCTAGATTGACTCCTAAGCGTGCATGAGGATATTGACATACAGAAAAGACAAATCGTTTGTAAGACTCGAGGTTACCCAGCTGTTGGCGACGGCGCGACAACCAAGGCAGTCCTGAATTAATGCTTTTGTTGCATTTACTCAAGGTGGGTGAATGTTTTACTCACATTTAGCACATGACCTAAATGTAAAACAAGCTTTTAAAAGTAGAAGAGATAGGCCAGCAAGAGAGCTCAACGGTTAAAGAGACTTGCCAGACACACAATAAATAATTTTTTTTCTTTTAAAAAGTGGAGTATACGCGGCTGAAGAACTGGCTCTGTGGTTAAAGCACTTGCTGCTCTTCGAGAGAACCAGAGTTCAGTTCCCAGAACCCATGTCAGACTGCTCACAACTGCCTGAAACTCCAGCTTCAAGGCCTCCAGTACCTCCTTCTGGATTGCAAGGACACTAAGACACATGTGGCATGTGTATACACATACACACACACACACACACACAAATAAAAAGAAATCTTAAATAACAGTAGATTATATGTTTGACTAGTGCAAAAAGCAAAGAATTGAGTCTGTAGCAAACCAAGTGAAATCCTCTGTAGTGCCCTTACTCACTTATCACATAAATAAAATAAAAAGTTTCAGAGTAGTGGCGATATCATTGCCAGGCCTGCTGGTGCACCACTATAACCCCAGCACTTGGGAGGGAGGTCGAGGCACGAAGATTATGAATTTGAGGTCAGCCTCTACTAATTTTGAGACCTGTCCAAACAACATGAGACTCTGTCTCAAAGAGCAAAGAAACAACAAAAAGGGGATAGAATAAGATGATTGTTTAAAGTGCTTACATATAAGAAACAAGCTGGGTGGCAGCAGCGTACGCCTTTAAGCCCAACACTAGCATTGGGGAGGTAGGGGCCAGCCTGGTCTACAGAGTGAATTCTGGGATAGCCAGGGCTAGACAGAGAAATCCTGTCTCGGCAAAGCAAAAATAAATAAACAAACAGGAGCCCTCCATGGTAGGTCAATTGCTTAGCACATGCAGGACCTGGAGGCCACTCTCAGAGCCTAAGAAGGCCCTGTGCGGGGAGGAAAGGCAGCGTAGAGAGCCGCCTAGTGTGTGGCGCCCTTGAGTTCAGTCAGAAACACAACTCGAGGGGAGACTAGATTAGTGACAAGATCAAATACAAAGTCCATCATTGCTAGTAGTTCTGTTTTCATTTTGCCTCTATTTGCACTCAGGAGACAGAGGAAGGCGAATCTCTGTGAGTTCGAGGCCAGCCTGGTCTACAGAGCTAGTTCCAGGACAGGCTCCAAAGCTACAGAGAAACCCTGTCTTCACAAACAAACAAACAAACAAAAAAAAAAAAAGAAAAAGAACCTATGAAATGCTAAGTGCTGGAGCTCAAATGGAGAGGCTTTAAGATGATGTTGTTTTTAGGAAATGGCACAACTGTTAAGCTGGGGATGAACTGAGTTGGTGAAGTGCTTGTCTGGCTGGATTGATCCTCAGTCCAGCATAAATTGGTGAGGGACATGCTTCAATTGAATTCCAGAACACGAAAAGTGCAAGCAGGAAGGTTCAAAGTTCAAGGTCACCTTGTGCTCCAGCTAGAAAGCTGAGACTAGCCTGGGATACCTGAGACTATGTCTCACAAACAAGTGGCCATGGAGATGGTTCCACAGGTAAGGGCAATTGCCGCCAAGCCTGATGACCTAAGTCGGTCCCGGTCCCCATATGGTAGAAGAAGAGAACCATCACCAGTGGTCTGCTAAATGCTCACCACGGTATGCCCCCTCCGTCCCTATACACACACATAAATAAATAGTTTGCAAAATAAAGAAGTCAATACAAAATAAATGTAAAATAAAAAATGTAAAACTGAACAAAAGTAATGAATCACTAAAAAGAGAGGGACACACACAAACTATCACTATCCCAGCTGGCTAAAAACAATTGCCCTTACCTGTGTGGCATACATTCAGCAATAAAAATACAGTGCTGCCAATAGCTAAATCTGCCCTAAGATTTATCTGACTACTAACCTATCTCAGAGCCTACTTGAAATGTGCATTGTTGAAGCGGGCAACCTCTTAGTGGTACCCAGTGATGCCCAGTTCCTAACGCTGCCTCATTTGGGTAATGCTTTCTCCTTGAAATGTGAGCGTCAGGGAACGAAATGATGTCACTTCCAAGACTAGGCTTTAAAGAGTGAAGGGGCTAGGGAGCTGGTTCAGCAGTGAAGAGCTCTGACTGCCCTTCTGGAGGACCCAGGGTTCAGTTCCTAGCACCCTTATGGTAGCACAGAACTGTCTGAAACTCTGGTCGCAGAAAATCAGGCGCCCTCTTCTGGCTTCTGCGGGCACTGCATGCACATAGTCCACAGGCATGCATGCCGCTAAAATACCCATACATATAAAATTAAAATAAAGGTTTTTATAAAATGTGACTTCCTTCTTAGGCACCCTCTCTGGAGAAAGTCAGCTGATACCTCATAACACAGCCCTGTGGTGAAGCCCCTGAGACTATGTGTGTGAAAAACAGATCGCCCCTCCCCTCACCATGAATCATGGCATGACCTAGCTGCCACTTCCCTGCCTGGAACCTGCACCCCAAGCAATTAGAAACTTCAAGAATCCGAGTGTTTGTTGTTGATTAGCGTCGCCTTGCTTTGAGGAGATTCATAGCACATCAATAGCCAACAAATTCATGACATAAATTTGGGGATCCCCTTCATTGTCCTTTAGAGAGAAACTTCCTGTCAAAGGGGAAAGGAAGTAAAGTGGGCAGAAACTGAAGCACCTCTTAGAGAAAGCAGAGGCAAGAGGAGCCCACGGTGTGGGTGGGGGCAAGATGAAGACACCTGGAACGGCAGTGCTGGGACCTGAGCACAGCTGTGGCCAACGCTCTAAATACAGAGAGATTCTAGATTAGAGCCACAGCACAGAGGACAGAGTCTTACTTACTTGTGCAATTAAAGTTTTAAGAGCCAGCAAGCGCCCCTGGGCCGCAGCCTCGTGGAGTGGTGATCGGTCAGCCCAGCAGTCTGAAACACAAATCAGGTTTCTGGTCAAGGTCAGGAGACTTGCAGCTGTTCCTGCTGTCCACCCACTGCGGCTCTTGAGGGGAGAGAACCTACCCTGCACCATGCTTCAGATCTTGCTGGATTCAGGGAGCTGGGCGCCTCGGCTCCTGCTGCCTTTCCATGGGTGGTTTTAACATGAAATACTTTTTTTTTTTTTTCAAACAAAACTAAGGGCTTGTCCCTGGTGACTCTAAGGTCAAGTGAAGAACTAAATGAACCAATTAGGTTTTTACTATTTCCCATAATATCATCTCCCCTCCATCTATACCCCAAAATTCAAAGCCTATGCTTTGTAAACCTGAAGAAATAAGAGAAAAAAGACCTGAAACACGGCTCAGTGGAAGAACACTTGGCGAAGCTCTTAGTTAAAAGAAAAGGTGAAGGAAGAAAGGAAGGGAGGGATGGAGGAAGGGAGGAAGAAAGGAAAGAAAGAAGGAAGATGTTTTCCTGAATTGCTTAAGTAATTTTCTCTGATTCTTTTGATAATAATATCTATGCATTTTAATGTAAAATACCCTTTTCAGATGATATGATCCCCCAAACTTTACCCTAGAAAGTTGTGCACACGGGGCCAGTAGAGCCAGGCTGCCTGAGCTCATGTCCTACTTTGACCACTCTCTGCCAAAAGCAGCCTTTGCTATAAACATTTGAACCTCAGTTTTCCTAGCTGTAAACCAGAGAGACGGTAATCTATTTGGCAGGGCTCTCTGAAGGCCAGTCTAGGATAGCCACAGAGTCAGATGTTCAGGGCCATTTGTGATCGATTAATAAGTAGATCACAGGGCAGCTCTCTAAGGGACAGGCTCCTCCCTGTTTTATGAGTATATTTATTTTTCTGTAATTATTTCTCTGCTGCTAAGACTGATCAGCTTCGATGAGCATTTGAGAAGTAACCACATAAGAAAAATCCCAAAGGACAATATTTTGTTTCGGAAACCGACCTGCTCCAGTTTGCGAAATCTGCGCAGTTTTAAAAGTGTGGCTATCCTCTTTCCATACTGAATAGAATGCCATGGACTTGGGCTTTCTTTAAAAGCAAAGGGTCCTTCTGGTCAGTGTCTTCTACGTGATCCCAATGGTGGTCAGGGTTCAGATTTCCCATTGTCCACTAGTGAGATTAAAAACAAAATCTCACTAGAAACGGAAGTGTGCAAATTGAAAACACTACGAGCCTCGAGGAAACAGTGTTCTCCAGCGGATGAGATTGGAAGCTGCAAGCATTGCAGGAAGTCTCTTATCAACATTAGAGCCCAGAGCATCTCTCCCGTTACAGGAGTCTGGTTAGAAAACTGAAGGGGGTTAACAATGTACTCGATGGGGTTGGAGTGATACTGGAACAAGTGGTATGAAAATGTGATTTTCATAATATGCAAACATAAAAGTAAATTTAAACAGTGTAGTCACGCCCTGAGAAAATCTAAACCAGGTCTTTTTGAAGGAATAGCTGACCCCAGGCTGGAGGTGTGTGTGCGCGCGCACGGGCACATGTGTGCGCTTGCATGTGTGGTGTGGCCTCTAACAGAAATGAAGGAAGGATGAGGAAAAACAGAAGATGTTGAAAAGGTAGAGGATGACACAAAAGGGCTTCTTCTAGTCAAATATGGGACAATTTGCCCATCAAAATAAGCAGAGAGTAAGAAAACACATGCTATCAAAACAGGAGCCCATAAGTCCTTGCTGATATATATAATACATCAATATGGATAAGGTGCTTCTTCCTAAAATACACTAACTGAAAAAAAAGTAGAATAAATAACAGGATCAGGTTCAAATTATCACTATATTAATTATAAAAGGAATGCGCATATTTTATTCTGGAAAAAATTGTAGAAATAATTTTGACCAGCCCAGGTTTCAAAGAAAAAGATGACTCAGAGGTTAAGAGCACTGCCTGCTCTTCCAAAGGTCCTGAGTTCAATTCCCAGCAACCACACAGTGGCTCACAACCATCTGTAATGAGATCTGGTGCCCTCTTCTGGCCTGCATGCAGACACAATACTGTGTGCATTATAAATAAATAAATAAATACATAAATAAATAAATAAATAAATAAATCTTTAAAAAAAGAAAAACACAAGCATTGGCAAGAAAAAAAAATTTTAAAAAAAGTTGGCACCATGTGCCATCTGATTAAATGCCATAAGCCACAGTGTATGGCATGAGAGGGAACACAGTGTTAAGAACATCCTCTCATCCTATCTGTACTGTTCATGCCCCCAAAGCATAACCTGACTCTTAGGAGCAAACCCTGCAGCAGCTCCCACCACGGGCCAGTCAATAAATGAATTGGCCCGGAGCCAGTTGCCGAAGAGATAGGGACCTTTTCTAGAAGGAAGGTGAGTGTGGAAGGCAAGACATAACATCTGACGCACTCTTTGACCTGGAGTGGGACCCCTTTGCCTGAAGAAATATTATTGGAGCAGTTAGCTAAACACGAATGGAGCGAGAGACTGGGAATTCTTTGTACTGACCTTGTAACTTTTCTGTTAAAATTAATTCCAGAAAATAATTTTTAACCAAGAGAAAATAAACAAATAGGTAAAAATGGTTTGTCATCTTATACTCCTGTAATGAATGTGAAATGCTTTTATAATAAAGAAAAAATAAAAAGGGCTTGCTCGAAACAAACATATGCTCTGTTTTATCTCTATGTATTTCCGAGATGGCCCCCAGCTGGTGAGTGTGACAGTTTACTTAAAAGAGAAGTATTTCTCATTGTACCACCCTTCCTCCACTCAGAGTTTCCAAGGACCAACTAAAACTGTGGTGATGTGTCCTTAGAGAAGAACGGGAACTTTGTAAGATTGATGGTGTGAGAGAACCAATCATGTTGGAGCGAAGCAAATCCGGTAAATTTGCATCACGTTGGTTCTTACATATAGTTTATATCTTGTGGACCTTGCTTGGCTATCCACCATGACAATGAAAAGTGAATTTCAAGACATGGCTCACTTAGCCTTCTTTCCTGTATCCTCCTTTTCATTTACGGAATACCGTAGACTTTCATACCATGTCTGGATATAAAAACTAGCTGCGAATCACTTCTACTAATGAAATGGTCAGCTCAGAGGACAGAGTCCAGTTGCGGAGCAGAGTATTCCTGA